GGAACTTTAATCCACCAGCTGGTTCACACCATTGCGGATCATGGGAACGGCTAATAAGATCTGTCCGCAAAGAACTCAACTACACCTTAAGAGAACAAACCCTTGATGAGGATGGCTTGCACACAGTTCTTTGTGAAGCTGAAGCCATCATCAACAGCCGACCAATCACAAAGGCCTCAATGGATGTGAATGACCTGGAAGCGCTAACTCCTAATCACCTCCTATTGCTAAAAACCTGTCCATCCATACCACCAGGAGTCTTTCAACCAATGGACATATATGCACGCAGGAGATGGAAGCAGGTCCAATATATGTCTGATCTTTTTTGGAAGAGATGGGTGAAAGAATATTTACCTCAGCTGCAGGAGCGCCAGAAATGGACAAGAGTGAAGAGGAACATCAATGTAGGCGACCTTGTTCTCATTATGGACAGCACAGCTCCTCGAAACTCATGGTTGATGGGACGAGTGATTCAAACATTCCCCTTACAAAGTCCAATCAGGAAAGTATTGAATAGACTTCTGCAGCAATCCATACATTCCACAGAATCCTTTGTCGCTGTTAAGGCTAGTTCGTCCTTAATCATCTTCAGCCTCCTGCACTAAACAAACCTTTGTAATAGGCCTGTCCAAGCAGCTAGTCCGAGTTTTTATCCGCACCTGACGAACAAATCCTCCATTAATGTACCTCCACTACGTTTTGCAGTGTGGACCAACGTAGTGGGGGTACATTTTCCCATGAGACTGGGTTGTTGTAAGAGTTTCATTCTATTTCTTGTTACTATGGATTTGTTGTTTGACTTGTGACCTCATCTTGAAGAATGAAGATTTCAGTGTGGATTTAAAATTTTGTATTATTGACGGACACTAATTCCCAGGTTTGAAAAAATGTTGGTTATTGTTGTTGCATTTATGTCACCTATTCGTTAATTGGTAATTATTGAATAATAATTAAGGGGCTNCTGATAGCTCTGCATATTTCATCACAGAAGTAGGGCAGGATCACCAAGGAACGGAAGGCTGACAGTACTTTTTGAATTTCACAGTAGAACAGTTTTTCACCAGGTCAAATAAGCACAAATCCTACAAGAAACAATCCACTCCAACATTATCGACAAGCAGTATAGACAGGCAAATTATCTTCCACTTTCCCCAGGAAACGATTGCATTTGCGGCAGCATGTGTCCCGTCAGGATAAGAGGGCTCTCCTTTACCAAGTATCCTCATTGCAAAAATGTTATCAGCCGCGTTGAGAAACCAGCTGATCAGATCCATTATTTACTTCAAAGTTTTTGGAAGATATACAANGTCAAACTCAGCCATGTCTGAAAACATGAAGCTTATCCTACTTTAACAGAAACAACTGTCGGTTTGTGCAACAGAACACTGCTTTTCCATTAAGCTCTTTTTAAACACAACAGACACATGAAGGGCACAATATGCGCCTGTCTGTAAATTAATGATACCTACATATATCCTATATATTCCATTCATTTTGTTCCTGCGTAAATAAAAGCACAATCCAGCTCCCCATTCGCTCTTTTAGATCCTCTGATCGTTTTAATAAAAAGCGTTTTATGGTCATCACCGCTACATTTTCTACTGTTTTAAACTGGATTTTTTTTTGCTGTTAAATTGTGGAATTCTGGCGCTAATTTAGCTGAACTAAAGGCTCCTACAAAGCAAAGTAAACGGCCGTTAGCTTAGCAACTGCTGCCGAAGCACTTTTAGTTCGGTAAATAAACCGAACCGCGGATAGAAACCAGCCAGCGCCGGGGAACCTGAGCGTTAAAGTACCAAGAAGAATCGGAACGACTGAACGGAGAGCAAATCTTTCTAAAAAACAATAACCAAAACCGTTTGGGCTCGACAATGGACTCACCGTCCGCCATGTTTGCTGTGGAGAGATGCGCACAGAATCCGACGTAGCTGATTCTGGTCTGAAGCCCGAAGCTACGTCAAAAACGGTCCTTTCAAAATAAAGGTAAGGTTCTAAAACGCAAGTTTTCACTTCAAAATGAAGTAGGTTGTTTTTTTTTTTGTTTTTTTGTTTTTTGTTTTTTTTTTTTTATTGAGTGAATTTTGTTTCATTGTTACTGCGGGAAAAATAGTTTTGTAAAAAGTAAGTTAATTTTTTTTTTTTTCCTGAAATGAAACCTTTGCCGTCTCCTCTGATTTTAATTTTGGGTTATTGATCATTTATTTCGAACACTTAATAAAAAGCAAATATAAGTAAATAAAGTCATAACAAAACAAAAGAAAAAAAGAAGAAAAAGAAAAAAAACATATGTACATCCCATCATGTTCGAAAAGGAGTAGGAAGAAGTAATAAAACTTATTAAATCCTACCCCTGTTCTATATTAACATCTACCTATGTTTAAGCATACATACATATCTATATATATATATACACACACACACACACACACAAACACATACATACATATATACATATATATATACATACACAAACTCATAGATACCTATACATATATATATACACACATGCATACTTACACATACACCCGTATCTCAAACACATGCACACATACATGCATATACATACACACCCCAATTACTATAGACAGTATACACATATATCCATACATATCCATAAACCAAAAACCCTTTTCTCCCACATTTTTTTTTTATTTTATTTTTTTATTATTTCATCTCTCTTGACTTCTTATCGATTTTAATTCATAGTGGCAGAGCAAGTTCTATTCCACCTCAAGCCCCCTCCTCCCTGTATCTTGTAAA